GGGGGGGGGGAATGGGCCCAGAGCAGACCGTCTATGGAAGAGGTAGGTTTCCTGAACAGCAGACCCCACTATTGCATTGGAAAAGTCATCATTTTCTGCTTCTTCAAGGAGGCACCAAGCTTCAGCCAGGAGACCAACCAGCCTCCACCTCCTGCTGCCCATGAGGCAGGCAGGACGTTCATCTAACACACGTGGCCACAGGTCAGCCATCCCTTACGTTAGCGCTCTGCCAATTTTAGCCACAAAGTAAACACAAAGCTTTTCTTTGTAAGAAACGGGCTCAGTTGCCACCATTGCAAAGCTCAGGTTAAGTCACTGCATACTGCCAGAAACAGCAATCTTGTTTGGGATGCAACTTGTCAGCAGCGCTACACCTATGTTCTTTGGTACAGCTGCAGAGAAACAGAAAATGCTTATACAGGACTTGAACTTGTTTGAACAAAGCCTTCCACAGGACCAAGCCCCAAAAGAAGAGGGTAGTGGCACCAGGACAGACACAGATTATTGCAAGACAAGAACCAAAAAGGAAGGCTGTGACAGTGCCAGCTGCCCCTGAGGAGTACTGAGGGAGGCCAGGCATTCTGCGCTCACTCACATTATCAAACCTCCTCCCTTTCTCTAATCAGACTTTACAACAGATTTGAGAAATGAGGTTGGGCTGCTCGCTTTATCCGTCTAGAAAATAGGGTCACCAGAAGGGAGGGGTGATGCGAAAGACAGGAAAGGACTGATAAACATGTATTCTCTATCCTCTATAATAATCTGCCCACCTGCCTCAAGGCAGCAAAATAAGGGAAAACAGAAATAATCTGCTCTCATTACAGATGTGCAAGCCCCACTGACAACAGATTTACTGCCCATGCCTGCACAGGGTCCAGCATGTGCTGGTGGCTGAAACACACAGAAGAACATCAGATTCACTGAAAATCCACCTACAACCCTCACTCTGGCTTTGAGAAAGGATTCAGCTTAGGAGCTCTTGGGCAGAAGATTCTCACTCCTTCCTGCCTTGCAATTTTTTTCCCCACTGTTTTAAGTTAACTCTGCCGGCCTGTTCTCCATTCACCAGTCACTTCTCCACTGCCATCTTGTGCCACACAAGGCTTTCAGAACAGGAGTATGCAGGTCACCCAAACGCAGTTCAGATCCTTTTGAAGTTAGCTAACCCCTGTGCTACACTGCTGCCTCAGTCCTCACAACACACTTGGTTAACGTTCACTTGGTTTTATACTTGAAAGATTCAGCGTCTGTCTCTTTGCTGATCCACAGGAGGAATCATATTGAAATCTTGAAGAATTTGGAGGGGAGAAGTTTAGCCCTGTGCAGACATGAGCTTACACAAAGCACATTTGTCCTCCTGTGACACATGACAGGTAGAGAAATTTAGTTACATCAGCAGGGATACACACATACTGCTGTTATACTTACTCAAATAATTCCAAATGCACTTAAACCACAGAACAGAGAATTCTCTCTCTTTTCCCATCCATCAAACCAGAAGGCCAGAAGGCCATGAGTAGAAGCTGAAGAGATGCACCGACTGGTGTACAATGTAACGTCCACAACAGTGCCTCTCAGGAATAAAAAAAAATCATGCACCCCGGCAGGAAGCTAGCATCTGTAATGCTGCCAAACTCAGTGGCAGCTCAGGTTACAGACAAGTGCTTACAGACCCAGCTGCAGCAGAGAAAGGCTATTTGGGGCTAGATTCGTCTCCTTGGTGCTTTAGGTATGATATTTCACTGCAAGAAACAAATTATGAAGGGAAATCCTTCTCAGGGTTCTCCCAAATACATGTTAAGGATTAAATCTTGATAACATGGCAGAAGTGGATAGTCATAGCTGTCAACCAAAGTCAATAATACCCAGTTCTTGTATTTTCCACAAAAAAAAAAACAAACAGCAACACTTTGAAACAAGCAATAGACCTGCAGCAAACATTAAGATCTCAGTTTAATCAAACTTCCAACAGACAAATCCCACTCTTGGAAGTCTGTTTATAAAGTCCAGATGAAACTACAACTGTTCACAAACCATCAGCACAGGGTGCTATTGTATAAAGCTAAACTTCCAGCAGAACTCACTTCTAGGTACGTAAGCCACACTCATTTGTGAGGGAAATAAAGAAAAAGGAACAGCACCATTCTGTGCTATCAGCCTAAAAGCTGAGATGATGGTGAAGTAAACCGTCCACAGTGAACACTCACCTTTGCAGCGCGCAGAGGTGCAAGCCTAACATGCTACTGCTTGGTGCTGGGTCTAACATGAGCCTGGGACATTACTGCACGCCCGGTTTATACGGAGGAAAAAAAAAAGTACAAAATACTCTACAGGGACTCATAAGGACTAAAGGATACCAAGCTGCCTTCTCAATTCCTGTGCTAATTTCAATTAAACAAAACAAGATGCAAAAGCAGAAAAAAGATCTACAGAAAAGTGATCTTAATCCTCTTCAGGTATCAACCTTATACCTCTTGCTGTCCTTCAAGTGAAAGCCTAGTGAATTGTTCTTGTTGCTCCAACTGATTAAATTTAATGTTAGACCACAAAAACAGTGAACAGATCTTCTCTTGCAGATCC